ATCCTGGGAAGCGGATATTTATTCTTGATCGTTAACCGGTTAAGATCCTGGTAGTCAATACACATACGCATGGATCCGTCTTTCTTCTTGACATAAAGAACTGGTGCTCCCCAAGGAGAAACACTCGGTCGTATAAAACCGAGATTCAGCAACTCTTGAATTTGGGTATTTAATTCCTGCAATTCTTTAGGCGCCATTCTGTACGGTGCCTTAGAAACGGGTCCGGCTCCAGGGATAAGATCAATAGAAAATTCCACCTGTCGGCTAGGTGGACCTCCGGGAAGCTGGTCTGGAAACACGTCCACGAACTCACGAACGATAGGAATGTCATGAGGTGAACGTGCCTTTGGCTCATCTCCAACGAGGCTCACAAGATAACCCTGGCAATCACCCCGTCGAAGAATCTTTCTGGCTTTCGCCATAGAAATAACATGAGGCAGAGTACGAGTCCTGGAGCCGTAATAAGTGATCTGATCACTCCCGGAAGAGAAAGAGTAATCTCCCGGTCGTGACATCGGATATCTACGTGAAAACGTGTTAGCCAATCCATACCGAGTATGAGGTCAAAATCCCTCATCTCGATAACATAAGCATCAGTAATCAGAATACGGCCGCCGATGGAAAGGCTACGATCGGTGGCTCTAGCGTCAGTCACTATCTTTCGTTCCGAGGCTAAACTCACCTCGAGAGGATCGACAGCGGTAGTGGAACGAACCCCAATATCTTCGAGACATCGACGTGATATAAAAGAATGGGTCGCTCCAGTATCAAATAAGGGATAGACAGGCACATCATTAAGAATAATCATCCCGAACATGGTACCTGGGTGCTGGTCGGCCTCCCTCTGGTCAACTGCAAAGACGCGGCCCTGCTGTCTGCCGCGTGGCTGTTGCTGGGGTCATGGTGGCTGCTGCCTGGGCTGCTGTTGTTGTGGTTGCTGTGGTGGTTGACGTTGTTGTTGCAGTCGTTCTGGACAGTTAGGGCTGATATGACCTGGCTGGCGGCAAATAAAACAGACGTTCTGGCCCACAAGGCATTCTCCACGATGGTGCTTTCCACATGTTGGGCAAGCTGGTATTTGTCTGGGACGGGTCCTCCGGTCGTCTGGGCCCCCTCTGAGCTTCCTCTTTTTCTTGTTTGTTGATGGTTGGGCAACTTTGGGCTGGGCTGGTGGCTGAGCAACTGGCTGGACTGATGTCTGGGTGGATTCTCGTCGGATACTGGCATCGACTTCTTGTGTAATGGCAACTGTGCGGGCGTAGGTCTGGACGCTGTGACCTACGATGTTGTGGCGGACTGCTGGGCGAAGTCCGTCGGTGAAACGATGGGCTCTCTTCGCCTCCGTACCCACAAGATCAGGTACAAAGGCTCCAAGATGGGTAAACTCTTTTTCGTACTCGTCAACAGAACGAGTACCCTGGGTGAGTGCCAAGAACTGCGCTCCATGTCTGCTCGGTAGTACGAGGGATAATACTTCTCTTGGATCAGCTCCTTGAATTGGTCCCACGTACATCCGCCTTTCTCACTGGGATGCATACTCCAATAGGCATGTCACCAGAGTCGGGCATCACCGGTCAGCTGGATCTGGGCACATAACATGCGGTAACGATCAGGGCAGTTCATGACCTCGAAAATCATCTCGAGGCCCTAAACCCATTCATCTACTATACGAGGATCTCCTTGGCCAGAAAACTTTTCTGGATGGTAGTCGCGAAACTGGGCGACCACTGTGGCCTGTGGGAGTTCCTGATGATCTGGTTCTCTACGATGAGGCATCTGAACATTGAAATGTTTAACATGATTAATTAACATAAACGGTTAACTGACTGACTACTTAAGTACACAAATTTCTTTACGAGTAGCTAAATAACCCGAGAATACTAAAGTCGAACTATCAAATGACTGAGACAATCGACTTGGTTCTGAAAATACTCGAGCATCTTACTGGTTTCTAGGGTCAAATATCTGATACCCTCTTACTGTGCATAGACTTAAGTATTCGTTTAAATATATAAACTGTAACTCAGCACTTATCTGATAGTCGGCGAGGCGTGAGCGTAACGTGGTCAGGTCTTTTCTGAAAATTTCTGACTTAAAAGTAATCAGATACACGAAAACGTGCTCTGATACCAATTTGTAACACCCCGCTAGCTTACTAAAATCAGAGTGCGATTTTCGCAAATTCTTTTCTAAAGTTTTTGGTTTAGTTTGCGAAACATATCTCGGAATGCTACACAAAATATTTCTTTTCTAAAAATCTGTTAACTTTATCAATTTTAAACCCAATTACTAAAAACGGATTATCTTTCATAAAACAAGCGTGTGATACTGTATAAAACTTGACCCGAAAGCTCGGATCGTCGTCTGAAAATTTACACGCTAGTTTGAAAGTCTGAAAACGTCAGCGGAAGTAAAACGTGGCAAATATATACATGTCAACAGTCTGCAAAAATATATACATATACTGGACCGGCGACCACCATCTCCACTCACTCCTCCAGACCGACCCTGTCACCTGAAAAGATCATAATAGTGGGAGCGTGAGTACTAAAAACACTGTAATCCGCAGAAACTCATACTGAAATAAACATTAATAATAATATCAATATCATGGCTACAGGTACATATAAGTAAACTGTAATCTCCGGACACAAAGTCTGTAACTGAACTGAACTGTCTCGGACACTATGTCCGCCATGTGCACACTCTGATGGGCAATTAAGGCTACTGCGCCTCCACCAGAACTCTGGATGGGCAATTAAGGCTACTGCGCCTCCACCCAAAGTGGATATCTCATATACATACCTTAAAACATGATAGAGCAATTATGACCAATGTAATACCCAGTCTGAGTCCCCACCTGTACTGATAATGTAAGTGCTGCTGCTGATCACTCTGTAAAAATATATAAATAAACAAATACTAAGTACTACGCTCAGACTGACTAAAAATAACTGTTAAGATGCTCGACTCGATCTAAATATTTAACTTGAATATTCTCGGGACTTAACTTGACCGACAAGAAAAATGGACTAAACTGATACTGATAAACTGGACTGACTGGACTGAAAAATTAACCGAAATATTGTACTGGACTCGAACCGGATCAGTAAATACTGAACAGCTCAAAAATCCGGTCTAAACCGGCCGGTTCATTTTCTGGCCGGACCGCTGGCTCGCTGCGGTCGGGCGGTCGGCTGCTGACTGACCACCGGCTCGGTCACTCGCGCATGCTTGGCGCGGACTGGGTGCT